CCCCAGTTTCACTGTCCTGTCAAATCCCACCTTATTTTCCTAGCAATTGAATGAAAATTGAACAAGAATTCCTGCATTGGCAGAGAGTTTGATAATTATATGAATTATCCAGTTCGGATGTAACTGGGAAGCCCAGCTGAGGGCGAGCCAGAATGTTTTTGACAAATGATCAGGTGATGGGGGAAGGGCAAGCAGAGCAGAGAAATATCTGGCCTCACAAAGTGAAGCACTGTAACACCAGTATTTGATTTGTTATTGTGAGGATACAATGTGGGGGTTTTCTTCCTCTTTCATTTGTAACATTTGTACGAATACCTTGTTATAGCAATGCTACGTCCACAACATGCTGCGAATTAGTGCGTACATCCCAACCCTGAGGCGTGACGTTTTGGAGCTGGTTATTGAGAGGCTGTTAAAGATTGATGTAAGTATAGGGTGTGGCAAGTTGCTCTTGGATGAAAATATTTTTTTTATCTCACTTGTTTAGTATAAATTTTCATATAAAGAAATTCTCCGTCATAGTACAAATCTGGATATATTGATTTCAATTCTCCCAAAGCCCAGCCATTATACAGCCAGTGCTCAAGGATTTGGGGTGTTGCGATCTGTCTGGGGGGGCACCAGGTTGCCTGTCTCAGACTGAATCGATGCCTTGCTTTTGTTGCACTGCTTCCTTGCCACAGGTGAGTGCCCCAAGAAAAGAAATTGAAGCTGCTGAAGAGATGGAGAGTGAGGAGACTGCTGAGGAAGGACTCTTTGACCTGGTACGTTTGCTTGGTCAACGTCGTATCTGGAAACAAAGGTAGGGCTAAGTCCAGTTGTTGGTCTGTAGAGTCAGCCAGTCCGTCAGGCGTTTGTAGGCATTCACTGAACAGGTGGAATTCATTCGGGGCATCTGGTCTAGTTGGGACTAACAGTTGGACGTAGCCCATAAACCTTTAATTGTAGAAGACTTTTAATCTTATCAAGAAGGAAGGCTTGTTAGTTTGGTGCCTAAAAAATATAGATAGCTCTTCTTCTATTACTTCAGTGTTGTATGAATAGCCATGTGTAGCTGAATACTTTCTGGAAAACACTGTTTTAAAAAGCATGCAGTTGCCTGTGTTGAAATTAGACCAGAGCAGCCAGTGGTAAAGGCGAACTTATTACTACCAAGTATTAAATATTGGTCAGGATCCTCTTTCTTTCCATGAAGGATTTGCATAACTTGCCACTGCTAATTAACAAGGTACTCAGATTTCTTGGTTGCATGTCTGGTTAAGTACCTAATTATGCAAGCAAGATGTGCCTCGGGACCTTGTCAGTTAGCTACAATTAGCTGTGGCAGGTTATACAAATATTATATGTAGTATTTTGTCATTTTATTTGAGCTTCGATTCTCTCTTGAACATTTTTTGCATCATAGTACTGTCTTGTTTTGGTGCCAGTTTGAGGCTCACACATTAGTGACGCTGCAAAACTGGAGTACTTCCAAGCCATATAACTTACTGGCTTCAAAGTAACCAAACAGCAGTTTGTTTAAAGACAGTGTTAGTAATCAAGCAAAGGGGTGGGTGGGGGACAGAGCAATTGTTTCATATGATATCTGAAGCAACCCACTGTCCGTTTTTATCTTGGCTGCTTGGGCTGAAAATACTAGTGAGTGGAGTGGCGTCACTCAGTTAAAGAAGCCTGGCAAAAGTTCCGTAACAGATATTTTGGGCCTCTGTTGCCAAAAGCCCATGGATATGTTCAAGACTTTGGGAAGTGGAAGTCCAAAACATCTGGATGGCAAAAAGAAACCACAGCTCTAACCAGGACTTAATTTGAACAGGATGAAGACAGAGAAAACCCAGGAAAGAATGATACAATGGTTCATCCAATTGCAGAACGCCTAGATATCTTGATGATCGTATTGTTTTCATATATTAAGGACATCTGTCACATTAATGGTAAGATCATTTGTGGTGTTTGCACAATGATAATTGCGACAATATGGGCTGATAATGAGGAAGCAGTGCAGCTCATTGGATGTAATCTGTAGTGTAGAGGAGGAGCTTGCTGGCAGTTTTCTGAAAAGTCACCTGGGAGAAAAGTAAAATTTGCTTCCCCTCCTCTTCTGACATACTTGTACTGAAGCTTAAGGAATGTGATTACAGAGACGATTTGCTGTTAGCAAAATTGGTGCAGGATCAGCGACTTGGTGCCCTCCAAATGCCTGGAGTGATGACTTCCACATGCCTCAGACGACATGGCCAGTACTTTAGGATTGGAGGAGTTCGTCGTCCACTCCAAAATATTTTGATGGCTACCAGAAGTGGCCGTGTTGCCTAGTGCATTCTGAGAGTTAATAATCCCAAAACTGACCCATTTCTAATCTTTGAATCTGGAGGCACCATATTGCCCCAGCCTAGATTTATAGATAGAATCCCAAAGTGAATAATTAAAACACTCTCTCAGGCAATAGAACCGAGAGGTGCTTTTTCACCAATTCCTCCTGCTATTCCCCTTCCCTTTTTCTGGATTATTATTTTTCTTTTATTTATTTGCACCCTGCCTTTCTCCCTGTAAATATCCACTCTGGAGCTTTTGGGGACCCTTCAGAATAGTATGGGAAGTGAGACTGGGGGTAAAAGGAAATTATAGTAAGAAAAAAGTGAAATTTGCCCTCACTTTGTAGATTTGTTGCTGGCTTAATCTTTTCATAATTAAGAGTAGTAGATCAGCTCTGTGAATCTGATATCACTACCAGTTTTTATTTTCTGGATTGTGAAAAGGGGGTGATAGATGGGTTGCAAATTTGGGTAGGTTTTCACATTTTGGTTTATTAAACCAATATGGTTTATTTTCACATTTTGCTTTATTAAAGCAGTGCCATGGAATATGCAGGTTACATATGCCCCTCCGCCTGTTTTGTGGGCCCTGGACTCTATTGAACACTCCCTACCTAAAAGAAATATTAAACAAAAGGAGAACAATGCATTCTTGAAGGCTTTCATGGCTGGGAACCGATGGTTGTTGTAGGTTTTTTGGACGGTTTGGACATGTTCTGGAGGTTTTTCTTCCTAACGTTTCGCCAGTCTCTGTGTCCGGCATCTTCAAGAAGACAAACCTCCAGAACACGGCCAAACAAACCGTTGTGAAATGTATTGGGAAAATTTTAATTAACAGCAATATTGTGGGAAATATGTATGTTCTCTTAGCATAGTTGCCAAAACAGTGTTAACAATGTTATTCCTACTCTTTTATCCCTAGGGAAGCTTGATATTGCCAGTACCAAGGATTTGTACCGTGATCTGGTGGCTGTATTTGATAAGCTGATTTTACCAACTCATGGATCATGTCATGTACAATACATCATGTTCTATCTGTGTAGCTTCAAACTGGTGTGTAGAGTCCAAGTTCTGCTAGTTACTTTTCTTTATTGACTAGTGCTGTTTGTGTCTCATCTTTCCTCCTGTGATCTCAAGGCAGGTTACATGCCTCATTTCCTCCCCACTTTCCCAGTAACTGAGCCTTAAGGAAAGCATTTCAACATGTTGAAATGGGGGGAAAGTGATGTCAATATTCTCTTAGCATTATAACCGAAACGATTTTAACAATTTTATTCCTATTGTTTTATTCCTCGGGAAAGGTGATATTGCCCTCAAATGACGTTGTCATTGTAAGGCAGTGTGGCCTTCCCGAGGGGATTCCTGGACAGCTAGGTTTAACCCCAGGGCTTCAGATTCCTTACCTGTGATTCTCTGCATATAATTCCCCGATCCCTGATCTAACAAGTGATTCATGCTGGCAGGCAAGGTCCCTCCAGGTAGCAAGGCCAGCATCCTATGTTCTGTGCGTCCTCTGTGTCTTGCAGGCAATCGCAGAAGCCTTTGTGGAGCACCTCTGGAAAAAGCTGCAGGATCCAAATACCCCTGCTGTGATCAGGCAGGCTGCGGCCAATTACACTGGCAGCTTTTTGGCACGGGCAAAGTTTATTCCAGTTGTGTAAGTAGCCGGCCAGAGTTCTTTTCAAACAAGAAACAGACTAATGTGCTGTGTAAGCCTAGAAATATAGAACTGAAGAGAATGGTAGAGGCAAAAAAATACACTGGGGTACCAAAGGACCTTTTTGCCTTGGACACAGTTTGAAAATGTACTTTTCAATTATTTGGGGGAGATTATGTAATCCACAAATATATAACTACTTGAAGATCTGGCCCCGAACTGTTAAATGCTTGTGTGGTCCTTCTGGCAACAGGCAAAGACCTTTCTCTTCAGGTGAAGATTGGGTGGTTGATGGCTTCTAGAGAAGGCACTTTTTTTGAATGGGTGGCTGTTCTTTTTTTATCAGCTTCTTTTCAAAAC